ACTGGTCTGTGTGCCTGAGTAACCATTGTGAAACTGGCAAATAGTCCGACTGCTGGTAGCGCACACAAGCATTCAAGTACGCTACTATCTACAAACAACAAGACAGGAGTCTGGTAAACAGTTTATTTTCAGAAACGGTTCTGTATATTAAGAGCAGGGGTCATTTCGTAGAAAAAGAGCTAGGGGAACTCATTAGCATACCTCATTAGCATATGCCACACCCCCTGACATCAGGGGCCTGGCGGTGGACCTGCAAGGCCAGCAGGAGTGTGAGGAAGCCCCGCCAAGGCCCTCCCTGGCCCCAGGCAGGCAGGGGTGGGGAAAGGCAGGGAGGAAGCAACTTACCCTGCCTCTTCTCCTGCCTCCTCCTGGCTGAATGAGGGCTGGAAGCGGGGCGGTCGGAAGCAGGGGGCGGGGCTTCGTCATGTTCCCCGCCCCCTGCACCTCACCCGGGGGAACTGCGTTCCCCCGCGTTCCCCCCCGAAATGACCTCTGATTAAGAGACTTTATAGTCTTATAGACAAGAGGATTATTGTATGTTTGTTTCCACACAACTATGGTATTGTATGGTGTATTGTGTTAGTAAAAGTATTTCGTAATCTTATCACAATAGCTTATGCTTCCTTTGATATATTGTCTTATACAGTCCCATTACTGTATTTGTTATGGCTCAGTATGATACCTTGTTTGCTTATTCCCCCGGGGGAGGCAGGGGTTTGCCCGCTTTAGGGTCCCCTGATCCGCTGGCCTGAATCCGGCTGCCCCCAAAGTGCTGGGATTGCACCAACGTGCCCAGAGCAATGAATGATGTCACCTCCAGTTCTAGAGCATCCCCCCCCCCCATTGTGCTGGGCACGTTGCTGGGGGGGGATGCTCTAGAACTCAGCCTACAAACTCTATGGTACCATAGAGTTTCTGGCTGAATGCTAGAGCGTCCCCCGGTGACATGCCTAGCGTGATGATGTCACTTCTGGGTGACGTTATCATGACATGCTTGCTATGCGGGCACCCCAGAAGATCCAGGAAAGGAAGCTCTGTCCCTCCGCCAGCAGCAGGTAGGGACCTGGGAACCCTAGTGGCACTTCAGATAGTAATAAGATTTATCCAGAATAAGCTTTCATTAGCTAGAGCTGGCTTTATCAAGTGTAGTGACTCATGGAAACGCATGGTGGAATAAATTTTGTTAGTGCCACTAGACCCATTTTTTGCTTCTACCGGCTAATATGGATACCCATCCATGAGTTGCATATTAAATTTGCGTGTAAAGTGCCATTGATTCACGGCTGATTTATGGTGACTCCATAGGGTTTTCAAAGCAAGAGATGAGCAGAGGTTTTGCCATCGCCTGCCTCTAAATAGAGACCCTGGAATTCCTTGGTGGTCTCCCATCCAAGTACTAACTGTGGCCCACCCAGCTTAGCTTCCCAGATCTGGCTATCTTGGACCTATACAGAAATGTCTTCCTTACAGGAACTGTGTAAGATGCACAGTAAATTTAAGATTCAAACATGCATTTAAGAGGACATGCCTCATGCTGCAGTTTTAAGCACATTACATGGAATGAAGATCCAGTGGAATCTCTGTGGCATATTAGAAACTAGCTAGGTTCAGGAACAGTATTCTAGATTACCTTCCAGGTTTTCACCTCTTAAGTACATTCACCTCAAAACCAGCCCTGTCACCAGTAGTTGAAGTGTGGTGTCAGATTCTGGTGTTTTGTGAAGCTGTTGCCTTACTTCCTGCTTTGCAACTAACCTCAGATACTTAACATCTGGAGATTGGAGGTAACAGGTTTAATCACGGAGCAGGAAATGGAGCAATCACTTGGCTTTGCACAACTTGGTCGCCAGTACTGTGGTCACAAAAACGCTTGTGGAGGCAGTAAGGTATTTCATGTGAACTTCCAGATCCATCTACAGCTCCTTCCCTGTGTTTTTGGAAGAGGAAGAAATCCTAACTCCTCATTTCCTTGGAACAATTCTCACCAGGTGGCACAATCTGCCTGGGTATTGGCTTGGTGTCCCACACTGCTTGGGAGCTCAAGATAAGCTTTTGTTTCAGTTATTTCTGTTAGCTGATTTGGAAACCGTCAAGAACTTCCCAAAAGGCTCATAGTTTATAATGATGAATGTAAGCACAGAAATTAACTTTTGTTTTAGAAACAAAACAGAAATTATAACAGCTTTCCTCAGAAGTTACAATACTTTCCTTGTTTTCTTTCACAAAAAGAACTTCCTTCAGATTCACCCCTCCCCCCCCAACTGGATTTTTAACTTTCTAAATTACGTCATCCTAATCCAAATAATGTACAGTAAATAATACATATTGTATTACTAACATCTGACACAAAAGAGGATTTTAAGGGTGAGATCCAAAGTTTTATACAAGTAATTCTATACACCCAACCTGGCTGTATGCTTGTGTTTTTCAAACATTAGTGCCCAATGCCACATGGTATGCCATCATCTTTGAAACTTAGGGAACATTTCAAATCTAGCATGGAGGGTGTGATCTAGCATGGGGGGTGCTATTCAAAGAAAACAAATGTAAGACACACATCTTTGTTGTGCTTCCCCAAATCCAAGGGTATGACTAACGTTGAACATATAAACCTGCCTTGTGTCAAGTCACACTATTGGTTCATCTAGTTTACTATGACAAGTAATGGCTTTCCAGGACCTTATGCAAAGAAAGATTTTTCCCAACATTTGCTACCAACAACCTTTTAATTGGAAATACCAGGGACTGAATACAAAGCCAACAAGTAAAGCACTGAGCCACAGTACCTTCCCAGAACAGGGACTGCCCCTAATAGACAGAGACAGCTGGAAAATATGTTTTACAAAGTCTCAAACAAAGATCCTTTGCAGATTTGTTAATTTTGCTAGTCTTTTAGGTGCTCTTGGTGTCTACAATGGACTTGTTTTGCTACAATGGACTTGCATAGCTGTGCCTTTTGAATCGTTATCATAGAAATCTTTATTGCCTGAGATACTTTTAATGAAGGTGGAAATTGTTGAACCTGATGCCTTCTGCTTGCAAAGCTTGAATTCTATAGGCATGATAGAACTAAGGTAGAACTCTTTGAGTCCCAGACTGTGTGTGCTTTATAGCTGCATAGTGGGAAGAGGTTTATCAGGTGTGGTTTTTGTCAGCACTAAAACAATGGGAAAAGCCATGCCTGCCAAACTTTTCTGTGTTGCTGTTGTAATGTATACAAGTAGCCTCTAGGGGCAAGTTTCTGCTTTGCATGTCTTTCAGTTTTGGCACTGCAGGGCTCCAGTACAGCAGCCAGTGGCTGAGCAAGCTGATGGAGAAACTGACTGGAAGAAGGCCCAGCCAGAGAGAGAATGGGCCAGAGAACTAAATAAAAAACATTCTTAAATTGAAGCAAACCTGACCTGTCCTGTTGTTCACAATACTACAGTTGCCCAGCTGCTAAAAGACATAGGAATGTCCTTCAAAAATGGGACTTGGCAGCAACATGGCTGCCAAAAAGAGGAATTAGAGAGTGGGACTTGTACACTTATTCTGAGTTACTTCCAAACAGTTATCATTCCTGGGTTTCATCCATAAGAATGTAAGAATAGAAGAAGATTCCTGCTAGATGAGACCAGTGGTCCTCCAAGTCCAGCATTCTGTCTCACACAGTGGTCAACCAGTTTGTTTGGATAGCCAACAACAGGGCACAGAAGTCAAGGCCTTCTCTTGATGTTGCCTCTTGGCACCGGCATTCAGAGGTTTAGTGCCTCTAAATGTGGGAGATAATTTGCGCATTTACATAAATTAGAGTTGCCACTCTGCACATAACATTGACTGAAATAATCTGGAGAAAGTAATACTTTAATAATCTAGTTTTTGCATAAAATATAGAGGTGGGAATTATGTTCCCAAAGCTGTTCAAGCTTTCAGTCTGAAAGTTGCTCCTACCATTCTTTATAGGGTATCCATAATGAAAACATCGACTATCTGGTCTTATTCTTTTTTCTTTTTGTTTTAATAAATTTAATAAATAAAAAGTACATATCATAACATCAAAATATAATTTAAATTAAAAACAGATTCATCAGAAAACTACCTATCTAAAATGAGATAATCCAGTGATTTATGCAATTCTCCTACCCTTTTATAATTTCAATAATACACTAACCTGCTGACCAGAAGGGATAACTCTCTTGTCAGCAAGATATTGTATGACTGGTTCCCGGGTTTCTTCGTAATCGAAAATGTCCCCACACCAAAGGAGAGTCAGAAAAAAGGGGTTATTCATAATCTTCTCCATAAACTTATTTGCCAATTATGAAGTGTGGGACTCAAAGGGGACTTCCATTTTTTTAGCTATGGCCAATCTGGCCACAGCCACTAATGTTGAAATAAAAAATTTCTGTTGTCTTGGAAGCTGCAGGTTTGCCCAAAAGTGTAGTAGGAGAAATTCTGGCGAATATGGAAAAGTTACTCTTATCCTTTTTGCAGAAATTATTATGTATTCCTCACTGTATACCTGGCGTGGGTCTTCGCAAGGGCTTGGTTGCAAGTGTTCAGAAATAAATTAGCTGTATTTAATCCACTAGTCCATATGATAATGAATCTGAGCATGCTGGACCAAAGGTTATGTAGCTAGTCCGTTACTTTGTTTTTACACTTCAGTCAACCACTTGTATGGATAATATTCAACCATGATGGGAAAGCCCAGCTCTAGACTTTTAGAAATGCTGAAGAACACCTTCTCTGAGTTACTGGAACTGCTGATATGGTCTCTTGCTTTAGAAACATGAAACATTGTTTGCAAATATCAAAACCTGGTAATTTAATAAGGTATAGAGTGCTGTGGCCAGAACTCTGACTGGAATGGATTGTAGGGATCATATCACTGCAGCCTTGTTCATCTGGCTCCTGGTTTGCTTCCAGGCCTAATTCAAGGTATTGGTATTGACCTTTAAGACCTTATACAGGGTGGGCCTAGCATACCTGAAGGACTGCCTACTCCTATATGGACTTACCTGATCACTGCAGTCATCTTTGGAGGCACTGCTTTCAGTGCCCTCACTGTCTCAGGCCAGATGGGTGGCAGTTTTAGAAAGGACCTTCTTGGTCATGTTGCCAAAACTTTGGAATTGAATCCCCAGGAAGATTCCTCTGTCTCCCTCTATTTTCAACCAGCAGCTGAAGACTTTGTTTGGCATTCCCTCCCTAACTCTCATTAGCACTCTTCTCTGTCTGTGTGTTTTTAGATGTTTTGTTTTATCCAATTGTTTTAAATATTTTAGTGTTTCTGTATTTTATTAAACCATTATTAAGGAAAGAATTAGTAGGCACATAGATGAACAAAACCTATTGAGGCAGACTCAGCATGGGTTCTGTAAAGGAAACTCTTGTCTCACTAACCTGTTAGTGTTCTTTGAGGGGGTGAACAAACATGTGGACAAGGGGGATCCAATAGCATAGGAAAAGGAGTACGACAAGGATGTATATTGTCACCTTGCTTATTTAATATATATGCAGAGTACATCATGCGAAATGCTGGCCTGGATGAATCACAAGCGGGAATTAAGATTGCTGGGGAAAAGATCAACAACCTCAGATATGCAGATGATACCACTCTAATGGCTGAAAGTGAAGAGGATCTAAAGAACCTCTTGCTCAGAGTAAAAGAGGAGAGCGCAAAAGTGGGCTTGAAGCTCAACATCAAAAAAACTAAGATCATGGCATCCGGCCCCATCACTCCTTGGCAAATAGAAGGGGAAGCCGTGGAAGTAGTGACAGACTTCACGTTCCTGGGATCCCAGATCACCACAGACTGTGACTGCAGCCATGAAATTAAAAGACGCCTGCTCCTTGGGAGGAAAGCGATGGCGAACCTAAACAGCATGATAAAAAGTAGAGACATCACCCTGCCAACAAAAGTCCGCATGGTCAAAGCAATGGTATTCCCAGTAGTCATGTATGGCTGCGAGAGTTGGACTATAAGGAAGGCCGAGCGCCGAAGAATAGATTCTTTTGAACTATGGTGCTGGAGAAGACTCTTGAGAGTCCCTTGGACTGCAAGAAGAACAAATCAGTCAATCCTCAAAGAAATCAACCCTGACTGTTCCCTGGAAGGCCAGATAATGAAACTGAAGCTCAAATACTTTGGCCACCAAATGAGAAGGGAGCACTCACTGGAGAAGACCCTGATGCTTGGAAAGATTGAAGGTCAAAGAAGACGGGGACGGCAAAGGATGAGATGGTTAGACAGTGTCATTCCCTGGAACGCCAGATAATGAAACTGAAGCTCAAATACTTTGGCCACCAAATGAGAAGGGAGCACTCTCTGGAGAAGACCCGGATGCTGGGAAAGATTGAAGGTCAAAGAAGACGGGGATGGCA